TGATTTTCATAGGATTGGGATAAGAGGAAAAGAACTGAGGGCTTCTTGCATGAAAATGAGCGTAGCAAGCCGTGGAGGAGCCACTTTCCAGCCTGATGTTCTCCAGGTGGGAAGGATGAGCAGCTGGGCTCTCAGCCACTCATCTTCACGTAGCTGCTTCATAAACAAAGAGCTGACGAGGGGACAGAAATGTCTACAAGCACTCCAGTGTACAAATGCTGTGGTAGAAACGGAGCTCTTAAGATATAAAACCAAGCAAGATAGACTTACAAGGGAGAGAGAGGAGCACACAGGAAACGACAAGGCCCCTTCTCATTCAGGCAGCACTGCCCCCTTCACACTTGCAGCAGCATTTAGCACATCTAGGCTCCGGAATGGACCAAAATCACTTAGAAATTAGGATGAAGATGAGAAAATCTATCAAGGATGACACCAAATGCCGTTATGCCGATATAGCCAAGCTGCTTCAGTCTTGGGCTGTTCTTTCTGTCCTCCTTTTCTGTGAAAATGGGGTCTAACTTACCTGAAATTCAGAAAATATTCATAGCACTTTCTAGCATATATAAAGCTGTGTCAGATTAAGTCTGACTCCTTTGAATAAAACTGGTGTTTGCAACCTACAAGCTGGGTAATGTCTGTTGTGTGACAGACATCATCTCTATCTTTGACTCAGATGTGCAGAAGCCAAGATATTTTGGTGTCACTTGCAGCAGGATTGGGAATGCAGAGAATTGGTGCTTTTCTGAAGTGGTTCAGTGCACATGGAATCAAGCAAAATTGGGGTGAAGTGGTCAGGGGGCTGCAGCTGATCAAATAGCATTAAAACTTGTTAGCTGATTGTAGAACTTCTCAGTAAACAGGTACATACAAGGCAAAATCTGACCTTCTTTATCTGAACAGTCCCCTGCCATAATTCCCACAAAGGCTGCTTTCCTTCTCCCACAGCCTCCCTGTCTCTGCCTCTGTTTTTTATGTGGGTTATCTGAATTATGGGTTATCTAAGGATTTATTTTCAAATGCCTATGGTTTTGAGGGACTGCAGGTTATCTGAGCCTTGGCCATGCACAGCCACAAACACCAAATACAGTATTTCAGTTTCATTGATTTCAAAGGACATAATCCATATACATTTGCTACACGTTTTTGTAACCAATGCTATAGATATTCTGCCCTTGAGAATATAAACGATTAATTTTACTTTCATTTGCAAGTCTAATTTAGGTATTTTTTACTTTGTTTAAGGTGGAAAGAGAAAAATGAAAATTCCTAGTTGACTTTTTGCAGGTCAACTAGTGCACCAACTTTCACACAGAGTCAACCTCCACATACAAAAATCCCTTTGTTTTGTAGAATTGTAGAATTGCCGTCCTCTCTATTGGCTTTTTTTTTTTTTTTTTTTTTTTTTTTTTTTTTTTTTTTTGCCTAGTGCTGTAAAGAAATGCAACTTCTGTTATTGCACTGTCTGCTTGCATTTGGGTCTATTTCCCCGAAACCTTGGATAAATTTTGAGCTCATTTGGTCTGAACTAGTTTTGAGAGGACAGAGGGCAGGGAGACCCTGAGGAAGAAGAAGAGATCCCATCAGACCCCATCTGAGGGGTGGACAGGGAGCGCTCCAGCGAGACCTCTTGCCAGGTAGGACTGTAGGTGAAGCTAGGTGTGAACACCTCTGGGGAACCCCAACTTGTTCTGTTTATTCCTCTTTCCCACAGCATGCTTTCCCCAGATCCAGAGCGTTGAAGCCACAGTGAACCCATGTTTAGGGACCTTTTGGAAAACCTGTATGCATGGACAATTTGTGTGACCAAATGCTCTTCTTCCAGCAGTGTGTAACATGAGCAACAACCTCTGCCAAACAGAGCACGCAGCTTATGTCTGGTGTAAGAGAGGGGGGTGGAGAGCAGGGTGTCTCTGCAGAAGACTGCTCTCCTGAAGTAGGATTTGGAAAGCTGTAGTTTGATTAATTTCTGAGATTTTTTTAATAGTTTTTGAAAGCACACCTTGTAGTGCTGCATTTCAGCAAGGAAAACTGCTTTCACAGTTCCTTAAAAGAAAACTGCAGTAACATACCAGGTGCGTGATCTGGTCCAGAAACCTTCAGAAGGCAAAAGCGAAGGACATTTAATCCTGACCAAGCAAACTAAACATTTGGTACAAAAGCTGGAGAAAATTCAAGAGAATAATAATGTACTCTGCATGTTGCAGTCCATCTCCTCTAGCAGTTGGAGTCCAAAAAGGTCACATCAACCACGAGTGAAGAAAGAAAGGAAAACACTCAGCAAGATGAATATTGCTCAGAGCATTAATTTTCCCATACTTTCTTCCACAGCAGGATCACAAGGAATTAAGTGTCCTCGTAGCAGGAACACTTCTACTGACATACTTTCATCTCACCCAATTTTTTTCCCAAATTTCTTTGGACAGGTGGTCAGTTGTGATCCAAAAAAACTCAGTTTTATTTGCAAACTAACCTAGAAATTGCATTTTCTCAAACAGAAGGTTGAAATCTTTCTTCCCTTCTACACTTCTCATGTCATGTGGAGTGGGCTGATCCGTGGTTTTCTGTCCACTGTCAAAGCCACCATGAAAATACAGTGAATGGATTTACATTAATATTATACTGAATAAAGCAGGGGGGTACGAAAAAGAGGTTGAGAAGCAGAAATGATACTGTGTGAGAAACACCTTCCTGATCTTAAAGGAACAGGGTTTTCAACTTTCATGTCAGGATATGTCTTTTAATATTTATGTGCTCCTAAATGTCTGTGTGATTACACTTCCCTGCAATAACCAAGGTTTTGGAAAAGAGTCATTGTGTTAGCAGGAGTGACAATGATAATATCATAATCCTTCAAAGTGCCAAGATGCCTGAGCCATTCTCAACTGAGAATCAGCATATTTTCCATCCAATGTCCACTTTGAGGACCACGCCCTTACACATGTGTGCACTTGTCCATGTTTTTGTGCACATTTGACTGTGAGGAGCACTTAAATCTATGGCATATCCTTTGTACCTCGTATATCTGGTCAGATTTTTATGTCATGCTCATTGACATGCTGTCTGAGTGCTTCTTTCATTGTGTTACTCATTCTAAATGCCATTTTATCTATGGGTATCTGATAGCACAATCATTCATATGCAGTTGACTGCATTTATTTGTGTCATGACTTAAATGGATGCACCTGCAAGCCTACATAAAAAATCACATAAACCGATGAACTGAAAGTTGAAGGAAAGCAACAGAATGCATTCTTCCTGGTTCTTTGGAGCTCTGTTTTGACACCTTTTTTCTTCTCAAGTGAAAGCATTTCATTTTTATGCAGGGCTACCGTATGGATACAGTAGACAACCCTTCTTAAACAAACAATTTCCAAATGTTGTTTTAAGGAAATGTATATATGTGCGTGGGTGCGTGTGTATGCATATTTATATTTCTACACCCCCACGCACCTGCTTTCTGTCATTCCAATGTTTGGAAACCATCGCTCATTTTTAATTTCAGCAAGACGGGGCCACCCGCTGCATCCTGCTGCTGCTCCAGGCTCTTTCCTCAGCCTCTCTCCTGCATGTGTCTCCCTCCCTTGTCCTCCTCCAGCAGCCTGGAAAGGTTGCTCCCAGGGCCCTGAGACCCCACACAGCCACCATATGGAGTGGGTCGGGTGCAGGTGAAGCTGTACGAAGCCCAGCAAGAAGGGAGAGCAGAAAAGCCTCCTTCCTCTTCCCTGCAGATGTGGAGGTGACCAGCAAAGAAGGTGCAGCTAAATTAGCAAGTGGCTTGTCTGCAAAATTAATTGTGGCAGGGACAGCAGGTTCAAAAGCATTCCCTTCTGAAAGGAGCATGTGTTAGACAGCTCAGCTCAAGTAGAAGTTGCGGATTTGAGTTGGGATCATAAAGTCTTGGGGATGAAATAGGTGTATATCTTTTAGAGAAGGTGCTTTATATGCCAGTAGGAATGCACAGGCATTTAAAACTTTGTAGCTATCCCACCACCTGAGACTGTTCATGCCACTTGGCAAGGGTGAATACTTCGGTTTCTGCCTGGTGCCAAGACAAGAGGCAAGAGGCACAAGCTGGCACGCAGGAGGCTCCATCTGAGCACCAGCCAGCACTTCTGTGTCATGCAGGTGATGGAGCCCTGCCACAGGCTGCCCAGAGGCCGTGGGGCCTCCTCCCTGGAGATCTCCAGAAGCCACCTGGATGTGGTACTGGGCAAATTACTGTTGTACCTGTTTTACTTCTCACAGCTTTCTTGCCCATTTCTTCTGCTTTACAACGAGAGTGTAAAGTGCCTGTGACCCAGCTGTAGGAAGAAAATCGAGCAGGGCTCATGGTTTGCAACAATTTCTGCGTGCCTGCCAGTGAAGTATCCTGAGATTACTGCGGTTGGTAAGACACAGCTGTCCTGCAGAACAGCTCCTGTGAAGAGGTGTGTTATGTGAATCATTAAAATCACTGTGGTATACATATATATTTATAAAAAAATACATGTGTATTTATACAAGTGTGTATATATATATATATATATTTAAAAAACTGGGGATATATATATATATATATAAACTGGGAATGTCACCGACCTCAAATCATTTCTCTGGCGTGCCTCAACCTAACCAGATGGCAGAGGCATTAACCTACTGACTCAACTCTTGCTTGTATATTCCCAATTTTTGCCCCCCGGAGGGGATGACACACGGGAGCAGCCACATGGATTTTGGGGGGACTGCACAGGGGAGCGGCCACATGGATTTTTGGGGGATGCCACACGGGAGCAGACACCTCACTGCTGGGCATCTCCCTCACGGGGGGCCAAAAAACAAGGCGAGGCAGCACCCCCACGCTGCTCCACGGCACACCCCGGCTCCAGGAGGGCAAAATAACCCCGTGGGCACCCACCCACGGCCTCAGCCCAGCCGGGGGGCACCCGGGGCAGGCGCTGAGGGGAGCCGGGGCCAGGCCCCTGGGCGGGCCGCGCAGCCGCGGGGCGGTGCCGCGCTGATGTCAGCCCGGGGGAGGCGGTGGAGCGGGGGGGAGCGGGCGGCGGCATGGCGGGGCCGCGGCGGCTGCTGGCGCTCCGGGCTACCGCGGCCGGGCTGCTGGTGGCCCTGGTGGCCCTGGTGGCCGTGCCCTGCGGCAGCCGGAGGCCGCCGGCGCCTCGCTGCGGGCCGCCCTGCAGCTGCTGGCGGGAGTCGGCGCTGTGCGTGGGGGCGGCCGGGGCGCCGCGGAGCCTCCCCGCCGGGCTCGGCTCCCTGTGAGTGCCCGGGGACGGGGGGCGGCCGGGGGGTCGCGGTCGTGTTTTTGTTTTTTTGTTTGTTTTTTGTTTGTTTGTTTTTAGCACGGTTTCCTTACGCCCTGCCCGCCTCCCCCTCTCGTCCTTCCTTGCGGGCAGCGGCAATACCCGAGGCTCCGGGAAGCCTCACCCGCGGCTCTTCTTTCCCTTCGGCAGGAGCCTGGTAAACGGGACCTTCTCGGAGGTGAAGGACAGGATGTTTTCCCATTTGCCCTCCCTGCAGCTGCTGTAAGTACCCCGAGCACGGGGCGCCCGTCCCCGCACGCTGCCCGGCGCCCCGGCTGCGCTTTTGGCTTGGCAGGAGCCGGGCTGAGGGCACGGCGTGAGCCTGGGAGCCCGGGGGCAGCTGTGCGCCGTCCTGCAGCAGCGTGAGCCATCGTGCAGCGTGTTTGCACTGCCCAAAGGAGGGCAGAAAGCGCTTTCTGACGCCCTGGGTTCTTATTTTTGAGTTTCAGCGTTAAGTTCAGGGCAGAGTTCCCCTCCCCGTCCGTTCGCACCGAGCGCCAGGTTCACGGCGTGGCGTTTCGGGACGCTACGGGGAGATGTGGCACAGCACAGGAGATGGCACGGGGAAGGCAGGAGGACACCCACACCCCTATGGGAAGGGCTCTGTGCCCAAAATGTGTGTGTTGTCTGCAGCGTGACCCCGTGGTTTGGCTGCCGTTGTGGACCCACGGGCGGGATGCGCCCCGCTGCAGGAGGTGACCCTGCCACATGTCCCAGCTCCTGGCACCCTGTGCCAGGCCAGCCCTCCTTGCCTCGCCCTGGTGGGGCTCTGCCCAAAGTAGAGACACGTTCTGAAGAGATACAGGGCTAAAAGATAGATATGTGGCCCAACAGAAATGCGGGCTGAGCGCTTGCTGCAGAGCCATCAGCTTAAATAGGTCTGGGGAAGAGGTGGTGTGACACATCTGGGAGTGCCATGGCCAGCTGCCTCTCCTAGGGCCCGCCCGGTCCTTCTCCCACTCACTGCCTGGGGACAGGGACAGCACCCCATGGAAAACACTAGGGAGAAGTGAGCAAGGCGAGGGCTGGAGGCCAGCAGGAGCAGGGAAGGATTGTGTCCTTGCGTGTGGCACTGGTGAGACTGCTCCTCTAATACCGCGTTCAGTTTTGGGCCCTTCACTACAAGGACAGTGAGTTGCTTGAGCATGTGCAGAGAAGAGCAACGAACCAGTGAAGGACCTAGAAAACATGAGTTATGGGGAATGACTGAGGGAATGGGGTTGTTTGGTCTGGAGAAGAGGAGGCTGCAGTGAGGATGGTGTTGGTCTCTTGGCTCAGGTGACGAGCAATAAGATGTGAGGAGAAGGTCTCAAATTGCACCAGGGGAGCTTTAGAGTGGAAGTTAGGAGGAATTTCTTCACAGAATCGAAATCTGCTCCCTGAAAGGTAGTGGAGTGTCCTCCCTGGAGGACATCAAGAGATGTGTGGATGTGGCACTAAGGGACGCCGTTAAGTGATGGGACTTGGTAGGTTGTGTTGGTGGTTGGACTTGATCATCTTGAAGGTCTTTCCACCCTAAATGATTCCATGATTCTAAGGCCAGTGGGGCTGAATCTTCACAGCTTCTGACTCACCTTTGGTCAGGAGGTCTACGGGGGCATTCACCTTCGTTAACACCAGGCAACACAGCCTGGGATGAGAAGGTTGATCAACTTTGGCTTTTAGGGTGAGAGGATACAGTAGGCAAGATAAGCAAATAATTAATCACCTCATTTCTAAATACAGCTGTCACAATGTATGCTAATGGAAAATTACGTTTAATGTTGTGCTAAGTTTTTGTTTCTTTGTTTTTCTAATATACAAAGTATTTTCTAATATTTCTTACATGAAAGGCTTACCTGGGCAAGGAAAGGCTGATGTCCTCAAGCCCTCTTTTGTTGAAAGCAGAGATCAGGACTAAAAGCGGAGCATGTTCCTACAATGCCTTCTCTGATCTCCTTGGGGAAATAGAGGATTTACCATGCAGTGTTTAAGCATAAGCTAAGTCCCAAATCAAAGCTTTTGTGGGACTTCAGGACCAGCACAGAGCCCTGTGCTTTGCCCATCTGTGAATGGGTGGAAACAGCAAACCTGTGCCATTTGTGAAGGAAAGAGATGAATCTGTGGGTGCAAAATAGAACAGGGGAATCTGAGCAGATGAAGGTTATTCCCTCTCAATAGGTGTTACAGATTTCCAGGAAGAAGTGTTGGGCTGTCAGGAAGGTCAGCTGTTGAGAAAGTCAGAAGTTTCATTTTATGTGGCAGATCAGATGTTGGAGTGAGAGGGGTTTGTAACCACCACCATCATCACCTTGGACCCTGACACATTTTGTTGGTCCATGTAATTGGGAAGTTTGCCCTTCAAACAGCCAAAAAGGGAGGATGAAATGACGACAAATACTGAACAGAGCACTGGTGTACATCAGGACTGTGTCTTTGGTCACAGTTGCCATGATGAAGCAGTAATGCAAGGATCACAGGGAAAGTTTGCATCTCATGTCCATTAGTCTTATAATTTTAGCAAAATGCCTAAAACCATACAAAAAGAAGATTAAGTTACTGTAGTAAACTGATTAGTGCAAACATGTTCACTTATAGCTGAAAATTCCGAGATTTTACAAAAATGATTTGAGAGGCATTTGATTTTTAGACTTAAGAAGTTTTGCTCTTCAAAGGAGATGGCTAAGTGTGCCTTTGAACATAAACACTGGAGACTTGTCTACCTGTGTGCTCTGATACAGCAAAGGAGGAACGTAGCTGGCCAAGCCTTTCCATGGCTTCTTTCTCCTAACTGCATTCTCCTGGCTCAGATGAAAACCACTTGGGGCAGCTCCAATGCATTTTGGCCCTGAAGTTCACGAGGCAGGGCAAGGCAGCACCCGGAGCTGCTTCTCCTTGGTTCGTTTGGATGTGGAGTTTTGCTCTCCAGGGGCAGGAGGGCTTTCTGTCTCTGGCAGTTTGGGCACATCTGCATTTGCAGCTGACAAACAGGTTGTGCAAACTGTGTGCTCTTCTCCCATATTGACAGGTTTGCTTGGAGCATCCCCCTGTGAGCTCAAAACAAGCAAGCCCTGATCCACCAAGACGGCATAAATGGAAGCTGGTGCTTGTGCAAAAGGGCTCCCTATGTCTCCAAGCTTAGGAGAGGAACTGAGATGCTCTCTTGAAAACTTTCAGCATGGCTTCAGGGTTGAGGGCACCTGGGGTCCACACTCAGCAGACTCACCCTGAAAGGACAACTTGTCCTACTTGGGGGACAAAGCAATCTAGGACCAGGCTGTATTTAACCAAGGTGAATGGTACAGCAAACGTATTTCTTTGGGAGTAGTGGACATGAACTAGCATCACATTATGCCTCTTTTTAAAAATTTTTATAGACCATTCCACAGTGTTTTATGTGTGCTGCATTGGTGGGGCAATGTGGGCTGGAGTCGGTAAGATGGGTTTGGTCACGGTCAATAAACACAACTGGCGTAACACAGTGTGTTGGGTTTTAATGTGCTTTCCTAATGCCTGCTCTCTGTTTGCAGCTTGCTGAACTCTAACTCCTTTACTGTTATACGGGACGATGCCTTCGCCGGGCTCTTCCATCTAGAATACTTGTAAGTCTGGTATTTTATGTATATCCCCGTCCTTTATAAATCAAGATGTTTTGATAAGTTGCCAAGACTCCTGCCATGAAGTCTTAGTCTTTGCTATGATTACCAGGAGCAGGAGAGATGAAGGATTTATGTTCCATTTCTGTGCAAATGTCCTTTATGGTTGCTCACCATTTTCCAGAGGTTGCAGTGGATTTTTAAAATATGCCGTGGGTGCAAGGTGGCTCTGTGTAATTACCGTACACTGAAAAAATGTTGTTGAACAAGAGCTTGTCCTGGCTTTACAGAACAGTGCCATCACTTTGAAGGAACTCTGGATCTCAGGAAAGAGGCGGTGAAGCCTCTCGTGGCCTGCTGACAGCCTGAAGAGGAGCTGCAGGGTGTCAGGGTACTGCCCAGAACAGCCCTGATTACCGGACTGGCCCTCTTTCCCCAACTTTTCTCTCCAACTTTGTCTTTGTTCTGATATTTCATTTAATGCCCATGGCATTTATTTTCATATTATAAATAATTATGAATATATGGATATATATAAACATATATTTTCATATAATTATTGTAATTATTTATAGTATTATTTACATTTATTTGACTTTCCTTTTTCTTAACTGAGTTCACGTCTCCATTGGTTTTTACATCATTTTCATTTCCCGATCTTTTTTTTTTTCTTTTTTTAGGTCACCCTTTTTTCTTTTAAAAATGTATTAGCCCTGGTACCAGGTTGTCCTCACTTCTACTGCAAAGGACTGCCATTTCTCTGTGTTACCGGACATGAGCTGGTATGTTTTAAACTCTGAATATAATCTGAAAAAAAAAAATTGTCTTTCCACCCACCTTTCTGCGCTGAAAGGTAGCTGTGGAAAACATTTCTGTCATTGCCTAAAGGAAGACCAGTGCTCATAAAACTGATTCTTGCTAAGGACTTGCAGGTAAGTAGGTATTAAGTTGGTGTATTCAGGACTAATGGTCTAATACATGAGAAGCAGTCAACAGTAGAATTAGCAGACCAAGAGATAGAGGATAATTGTAAGTGATGTATGCTGAAATCCACAATTCAGCTACGTTTAGGTTTTTGAGTGACAGTAAGTTATCTGATTATTCTCTTTTCCAAGTGTCTGCAGGAAAAAAAAAAAAAGTAATTTGCAGAAAGCTGGTAAAAAGGAGAAAAACAAAGCACAAACCCAACTCCGCAAATATTTTTATGTTGTTTCCATGATGACTTGCTTAGGCTTTGAAGAGCTGATGAGTCTAAAATGGAGCTTGGCACAGTAGCATACGCTACAGTAACTGTTGCATTGGTAACTGCAACCAGACCCCTGTTAAGGAAGAAGAAAATCCTGCCCCTCCTCAGCTCATCAAAGGGACAATTTCTGTCCCTGGCTGCTAATTGCAAACCAGGGAACACAATTAAGACTGGTAAAGCCTTGTAGTCTGAATTTCTTTTAGTGACAGCTGACGAAATGGTCTCAGTTAATGGTTGTGGTCGTTCTCCTTGCCTTGCCAAGTCCTGAGGGCGCTTCCTCTTCCTAGCAAATCTCACCAGTACCTTTCGGGAACTGAATGTGACTGGCCTGTTTATTTTTTTGGGTCTCTGCAGACAGTAACACCGTTACAGTTGTAGTAGCTGGTGTCTCGCAATTGCCAATGATCAGACCTTACAGAGCATAAGGAAACCTTGTTGACGAACAAGAACAAGCTTCTTTGTGTACCATGCAAAGTCTCCAAAGGAAGAGCAGCTGGGAAGCTCCCACAGCAGCTACCTCTATCCCCTAGCAGGAGCACTGTGTCACACTGCACTCGCAAAACTGATAGCAGGATTCCACGCACCCGCACCCCTGACACTGCCAGCCTACGCTTGCATAACATGGATGAGAAAGGTCTGGTAAAGATGGGAGCTTTGCTGCTGTTCCCAGGGTAGCAGGCCTTCGAGGCTGGGTTTGGTAACACAGGAATCCAGCAAATTACTGAGTCCTAGCCCAAATTTCCATCATCCCTCCGTGCTGTGTTCAGCGAAGCCGTGTTTGTTTGCACTGAGGGCGAGCTGGTGGTGTGCGTGGGTACTGTGTCAGGGAGCAGTTTGGCTCTCTGCTATGTGGATTGAATTCATGTCCCCAGGCTGCCTTGTAACAGAGTATGGTTGACCCTTTACTGACATCCTCTGTGCAGACACGATACTTTAGTTTGCATCCTTTGCATGCAGTGAGGTTCCCAGTCACTTCACGAAGGATTTTGGCTATGTCTCAGCTCAGGAACCCAGAGCTCTTGTCATCTCACCTCCCACTCGGGGCTGCAGCCCTGTCTTGACTCCTTCGAGCAGTAACCTTGATGCATAATATTCTTTCCTCTATTTCCCTGTAAGACAAACAAGGATGCACAGGGGAAAGGGAGACCATTTTGTTTCATAAAACTGTTTTTGAAGTTGATGTTCAGTTTTCTTCCTACAGATACAGCTGTACCGTGCAATATCTTGATGGCCACCTGGCCGCAGCGACGTTGCAGTGCTGATGGTATATTTATGGATGCGTCCTCAAGTGCTCTGGGGTCAGGATGCTCAAATATCAGCTCTTTCTTTAAATGCTGATGTGCATTCAGGATGAGCAGCATGCTCCAGCAATCGATACATCACTACCGTTGTTCCCCCAGTACGCAGGGCCATGACTCGTGTGCAGCTGGGTGCCCTGCAGAGGTGATGTCCCAGCTGGAGAGCACTGAAATGTGGCAGCAAGAAGACAAACAAGGCCTCTGGCAGTGGTTTTACGTTTAGGCAGACTTTGGGCTTGGGATACCAGTATGTAGGTGCAGTTCATGTTGTTGCAGAGACAGTGGGCTGGGAGCCCTCCAGCTCTGCGGGTGCAGAGGTGATACTGTGCGTACAGCCACCTGGCTGTGGGCACTCTTCCTTCGGATGTGGGCTCCTTGAGCAGTGTCCATCTGCAGCCTGTGAAGTCCTGTCTGTTTGCTGCCCAGTGATTCCACAATTCAGGCAGCTGTTGAGAGGAAAGTAGGACTTTAGCTTCTAAAGTCCATCTCAGAAGTCTGTCTTACCCAGGTCTCTTTCCTCACACAACACGCTCCACGAGAATTAAACTACAAAGGAATAATGTTTTTTTTTTTTTTTTGCTTTGTCCATTTTGTTCCTCTGCTGCCGGATATTTGTGGCCTGGTGCCTGCATCATTACTTGTGGTACACCAGGGGCAAGGTGATGAGGCAATATGACCAACTCCACCAAGACTTCCCCACCTCTAAGTCTGAAGGGGCTACCCAGGAACCTGCTGAGTTTGGAGGACATAGGCTAAAGCACTGGTGTGGTGCTCATAACATTAATTAAAGTCTTTGAAAATACTTTTTTCTTTTTTTGCCTAGATTCATTGAAGGAAACAAAATTGAAACCATTTCAAGAAATGCATTTCGTGGCCTCCGAGACCTCACCCACCTGTAAGTTATTTAACATCCAGTAATTTGTACTCGAGCAAAACTCTCCTTGCAGATAGCTGGCTTTCAAGCCACATTTAATACCTCTATTTACCTCTGTGCTTTCAGCAACCTTCAACAGTCAGTAACATGCCTCCCACAAATTAAAAAACGGCCTTAAAAAAATTCACAGGCACATTCAGCTGCCTGTGCATGCTCACAGGTCGTGTTGGGGTGCAGCCATTGCCTGTGGGTGCTGCCAGTGGTGCCACCGTGGTGCTGCGTACGTGTGGTTAACATTCCTCTTTCTTTTCAGCATGTTCAGTCATTGCCCTCTGTGTCTCATTTCACCCAGGCAATAAAAAAGCTTTATATGTTTTACTTTTGCGTCAGCTTCATTTTCTTTCTTTGAGCAATCACCATTCTTGAATGAGTGTAATTAATGCCTGCGTGTTTCTGGTAGTTAACAATGCCAGTGGCTGGACAGTATCCGATAATTAACATTCTGTGAGCGAGTTCAGACTTTGTAAGAGTCAACAAGATGAGAGATAACAATGATATTAAGCTATAACTTTTTTTTTTCTAGTTCTTTGGCCAATAACCATCTTAAATTTCTGCCAAGGGATGTCTTCAGTGACTTAGATTCTCTAATTGAACTGTAAGTAATGAAAATCTTTCTACTGCCTGCCTGCTTCTGTGATTCTATTGCTCTGTGTTTGAAGTTCTGCTTTTGTGTGTGTGATATCTGTGCAGAAAATAAACATACATTTTGCTCTTCTATCTTTTCTCTTTTTAAGATTGTTTACTTGGTAGACCCTCTGGAGTAACTGCTATTTCTCAAATCACTGTTGCTTCTCATGGTGCTGTATATAGCTTGCCTTATTGTACTTCTCTCTAATGTTTTATTTATATTTCTTTAGCAAAAGGGAGACAACAAATTTTAAAACTACAGTTTCTCTGCATAGCTTTTCCTGTTGCAAGTATTACTTGAGATTATTTTAGTGAAATGTATTAATTAAAATGTTTTTCTTTCTCTGATTTTGTGCAGTTGTAGCACATTGCTGACTTATAGTCAATGTTTTTTGTCTGTGTGCGTGTAACTAAGCTGCTAGTCAGCATCCCTGACTCTCTTAACTAAAGAAGTACAATTGTAAGCCCAAAAATTGCCAAAGCATTGGAGAACAGGCATAGTATGTGAAATTGTACGTAAGTTAATAGGGGGGAGGTTAAACTGACTGGACTCCCCATCAGCAGGGACTCTGAAAATACCAGTCTTAGGTCTGTTTTTTAATGTAGTGCAGAAGTGATAGCAGCAAGCCCACCCTGTCAAGCACTGGTTCTGCATAGTTTGGTGAAGGAATGGGGTTTGTCTGTGTCAGCAATAGATGATGGGAAGCAGACTTGCAGCAGACAGCCGCCCTGTGAGGATTTATTATGCTGTAGTCCTAATCCTATGAAAACATATAAATACAAGTGACTTTGCACATGAATCACAGTGCTCTTGTTAGTAGTGTTATGCATGGTCTTATTTCTTAGACTGAAACTGTTTTTCCGAGGACAATACTTCCGTGAAGGAGTGTACATGTAAAGAGCATCAGAATAAAACTTATCGAGTCTTTCCTCTTCTCAGTTCAAAAACAATTCAAAGGTACTCACATATTTTTAAGTTCAATGTCAAGGTGCTAACAGTTCTGTAGTGTTTATGTTGCTATCAACCTTTTCAAATATGTCTATTTCTGTGTGTTTTTTTAGAGATTTAAGGGGAAATAAATTTGAGTGTGACTGCAAAGCCAAGTGGTTGTTTTTGTGGTTAAAGATGACAAATTCCACTGTTTCTGATGTCCTGTGTATTGGTCCAGCAGAATATCAGGATAAGAAGTTAAATGATGTGACAAGTTTTGATTATGAATGCACCACTACAGGTATTCAGAATGCGTATTTCTAAGCACACTGCAAATGGTTAAATAGCAGAGCTGTAGACTAAACCATTTCATTTCTGTGAGCATGACCTGGGGGGATGAAGGGAGGAAAGGGTTACCTACAAAGTACTAGAACAAGCATAAAATGAGAAAATCACATTTTGAAGCTGAAATACAAAGTTTTTATTTGGATTAAGTGATAATGGGAGAAGAGCTGGGACCATTCATATTCCACAGGGCTTGATTATGACTCACTTGTGACTTAATTTTCATCACAGAATGCTTTCTGTTTTCTGGAATAAGGCCATATAGTGATGTCGGATGAGCTTCCCAAAATCTCTGTATTTCACAGAAAGCAATGAAGAGAAGTTCAAACGATTTGGCTATATCTGCTGCTTTTATTCAATAGGCCACGATATAATGTCATCAAATGTGGCAGCAATACTGCCAGCAGTTCTTTATAGAACTCCATTAAATTGGAGAGAAATGTCCAATAATATTTCAAGTACTGTCTTGTTCAGGATCTTGACTTTTATTTTAGGTAATGTAAAGCATGTAGAAGGAAGTGAAGAGAAACCTGCATGTGGGTATGCTTATATTTTATGACTAAATAGCAGACGTTGCCTATATTTAAATGCAGTCACATCATACAACTGAGAATATCAGTTCCGAGTATTGTTTTCATGTTTCACGTACATAATGTCAGTATTTTGCCTTTTTTTCTATACAGTAATGTCAGAGGCATTCAAGTTCTCATCTGCCATGGAGTCAGTCATTGTTAGGAGACAGTAGAGAAGTTGATTACTGGTAACATAAGATAAAGTTTCAGGACAGGGTAAGAAAAGTAATCCAAGGGCAATATGTTAAGTGAAAGAGAATGACCTCATAATTCAAAAATATGTTAGAAGAGCAGCAGAGGTAAGGAGTGATAATGTGCCACATGAAAGGATGTCAAAAACAGGCGAGCGATGTTGCTTAGAACTGCTCCCAGGTTATGTTACTGTGTCTGTAAACAGAAGTGCTATAAAGTAGGCTTCATTTCATTTCAGTCTGGTTTAAGAAATTGCACAGCACCGACAGTGTGCAAAAACAAGCCTTGTCTTCCTGGTCCTCAGACCTGAACTGACTTACCTATGCTCTGTCATCTCTTTGCATCTAGATACTGAGCTATAAAGTGGCTACAGACAAAATTCATGTGTTAATGTTAGTCCCTTTGCCTGCTGGAAGTGAAATTACACTGAGGATAAATGTAACATCACGTGCTGCAGCACTCCAGTGGGCCTGCTGGCCTGTGGCTTAAGCCCACAGCTGTCTTTTCCTTCTTTGCCCTTGCTTCACCCAGATCTAAAGGGAGGCTAAATATGCCCGTATTGATTCCTGAGGGCTGATTAATTACAGGCTCAGACCTGAACTGTATTTTGAAATAAAGCAACATATCCCCTAGGTATACTCTCCTTTCCTGCTCGCTGCTGGTCAGTGCTCTTAGCACACGCTCCCCTGAGGAAAGCCTACAAACCTTTCATTCACATTAGCCTTTAGCACTGTCTTCCCTCCTTTGCCAGCCTTGATCAGACTTTCATTGTTTCTGCTCTCTGATGCTCTGTGAGCATGACTGGGTGTAGCATGTGGTAACAAAGGAGTTTGCTTGGTAAAACGTGCATCTCGGAGGCTCCATTGCATTTGCTGAACCGACACAGTGATGGCAGAAGGGTAGATGTAAAAGAGGTGCTGCCAAATTAAAGGAAAAGCCAATGGCTGAAACTCTTGATCACTTATTCACAGTGAAAGTGATTGGCAGTGCCAGTGACCTGCACTTTTAACTTTCTGTGGTAGTATATTGTCTTTCCCACTTCTCATGGCTTGCATCATGCAAATAGGTTAACTCATTTCACTTTTGTGTGTGTGTGTTTCTCCTGCAACCATGTGCAAGGGTGCTGTGTTTTGGTTATAAGCCCAGCTTGGCTTTCAGGAGACTTGAAGACAGGCCTTCCTCTTCCATCGCCTCTAAGGCCTAGATTTTTGGCACGCCCGATGTGGCAGCATCTCTTTACTGTGTAACTCTGTCCCACATTAGTCTGGTATTTCCAGCTGGTTTGTCACATTTTACTGATTATGGCTGACATAGTTACCCATTTTTAGTTGTCCAGTGCCATAAAGAGCCCAAGGACAGGTACAAGTAAAAATAGCTGTGTTAACACTGAATCATTTCTGAATGAGCAGTGGATTTTAACACATCGACTGGTATGTTTTAACCCACAGATTTCCTTGAAGTGTTTCAAAACTGTTAAGATGTTTTTTTCAGTGTTAGATCTGTTCTGTTTTTTTTTCCCCCTCTCAAGATTTTAAAAATATTTCAACTTTCTGTGACTATATCTGTTCCTGCTCCATACTTTACTTCTCATGATTTATCACTTACTTCTGCTTTCTGCAACCTACATTGTCAGTTTTCTCCAATCCTTTTATTTCCGCAGTGGGAATGAAGGTAACTTTGTTTTCCTACCTGCATTGATGAATCAAGCCCACGCTCTATCCGTAACAGTCCCTCAAAGGATGGAGACTGTCACTTCTGTTGTAGCTGTTCTGTTTGTGTAATGGTAGTCATCTGCCTTTATTCTCCAGAAGTGTAACTTCTCAATAGCAAAGACTTTCAGGCGTGCAGAGATGAATTTTTCATTGGAAGACGTGTGTTTCATAACACACCGAAGTTAGGGACCAGGGTGAGGGCTTAATCAACATTTCACCCCAATCCCTGGATGTTCAGGGCTTTCCAAAGTAGGAGTGAATGGTGGAAGCACAGAGCAGAACAGAGTTTAAAAGAGTGCTGTCTGCTTCTGCAGAGAAACTCTTTGTGGGATAATCATTTCCTTTTCTGTATATTTATATCTACGTATAACTCCTGGGCAGGCTTTCTGCCACCTTCTAGACAGAAGCACCTTAGTAGGTTCAGCTTCTCTTTGTCAGCTCTGCTATACTGATGTCCTTTTCTGATAATGATGACCTTGACAAGCTGTCAGGCCAAATATCAAACTCAGACCCAGTTTGCTCTTTTTCCCCAAATTGGTTCTGTGTTGGCTACTCACTTAGCCCAATGTGACTTTTAAAGTTCAATGTACAGGCACTTGGAGTTTGAACAGAAATCTTGGATTTTGGAGTTATGCTCCCAGCCTTTACAGGTTGTTCCAACTCCTCAGTCTTTGCATCTAGAATAAGTTTTCCACTGGATAGTAATTTGCAGGTTGGTTGTATTTTATGCTTAAACTACTTTACAATGCCCTGTAAAACGGTACGTTAACTGAGTTTTTGATTACACCATTTTGTCTATGGTCTAGCTAAAATGGGGTTATCCCCAGGCAAACTTTGGATATAATTTCACTTTCTGCCTGGTTTAGCGTAACACAAATTGCTAGTGATTAAATTTGCATGTCTTAAGAAGTTATTGGACTTCAGCTGGAAGTTGCTGTCTCTCAGCTTGAAAGTGATTCTAGCAAGGCCATTTTACTTGACAGGAAAGCAACTTCCAGCTGTGGGGAAAGAGACTTCTCTTTGACAGCATGTGAACATGATCCTGATTTCATGGATGCCAGCCAGCCTAGCTGCAAAATCTGAATTCTGCCACTGTTTACCTATTTGATCTCCTTGGCAGCTGTACTGCCAGAGGACAGTTCATGATGCTTAAAGCAAGGAGACACTTTCCCCTGTTGCTGCATGCCTCACATGAGCACTGACACCTTCATCTTAGGCTAATACAAAATTCAGAATATATCACTCATTTTCTAGTGTTTATAGTCATCAACTTTGTGTTTTCAGCAAGGACCTGTCCTAACTGTTGTAAATGTATATTCCTAGATTTTGTTGTTCACCAGATTTTGCCCTACCAGTCAGTGTCAGTGGATACATTCAACTCTAAGAACGATGTGTTTGTAGCCATTGCACAGCCCAGCATGGAGAACTGCATGGTGCTGGAGTGGGATCACATTGAAATGAATTTCAGGAGTTACGACAACATCACAGGTACACGAACACTGGGATCCCAGTTGTTGATGAACTATTGGCATTTCACAAGGAAAAATTGTGAGGGCGAGACATAGATGGGACCAGATGATGGTTTTTGTCCTGCATCTGTATTTAAACTGGCAGATTAAAGTTCACAATATTTATACAAGAATAATTTCATGGAGTAGTGCATTTTTTTCATACATGCACATTTAACCTTGCTATAGCACGCAAACTAGGCTTTTTCAGTCTGAACTTGTGAGTTGTTCTCAAGGTACAAACACTAACGTGAATGTCACAGCTGAGCTACTCCCTGCCTAAATCACACTAATTAAAGGATAGATTAAAGGAGCCTTCGCTGTTGTGCCTGCAAAATAGAAGACAGAAATATTCTGCTGCATGTAGAAAGAAATAGGCCTGAAGGATACGTGTGGGTGGGCAGTCTACAAGTCCACTAAACTAGTGCCCTAGCTCCACACCCAGCACGTGTGCAGAGACACATTTCTCAAACTACTGTCCTGTATTCCTAGAAAACCCAACTTAAGTGCTGGGCTCTGAAATATGGGAGAGGTGCAGACTACAATTATGTAAAGAGCTTTTTGTGGAGCCTAAAGCGTGTTTTGTAGAGCTTAGGAGCAGGTTGTGTACTTTGGGGGGGGGGGGGTCATTTTTGACTCTACGGTTGGCATTCAGGTGTCTGAATTTAGCCCTCTACAATATGGACCTGAGCTAGTTGTCAAGACTGCCTTAATACTCAATACGCAGAGAAAGAAGTGAACCATTTTCTAGAGAGCTCTTTGACTTAGACCAGAAAGAGCCTGAACGATCAGCTCAAGTAGTCATGTCTACACTGCAAATACTTTATGGTACTGGAGATGAATCCCTACGTTACTGGCACTGGAAGGGTGATGGTTCATCACAGGCTAGCTGTGAAACAGCAGTGGGTGAGGGCCAGCTGGGGACAGAGCAAGCACAGGGGTCTGTGCAGATTCAGTTCTACATAAACTGTTTCAGAGACAACTTCTTTTCTTGCAACAAATCATTTAATAAATAGTTCAGTTGTTACCTTTTGATGTGGGTCTTGTATAGTGACTGGAGATTGTCAAAATGGACCATAACTCGATATGATTTAATCTGGCAACTGCAGTAGTCCTAAATATTTTGAGTTTAATGCAATCCAAAAATTCAGAAACAACAGAGTTAGATTTATCTTTTTCATCTTGCTGTGGTACTGATATCCACAAGACGCATCAGTAGCAAAAAGCTGACTCTGGCCCTCTTGGACCAAGAAAAACAGAATATATTTCATTCTTCTAGTTAAACTGGAAATACAGACATCCCATGAATAAAAGAATTTCAAGTTCTTGCTGAGTTGAGAGATAAGAACTGTTGTTACTGAGTAACAAAATCTGGCTTCTGGATAAAGAGTAGTGAGCACTTTAGGGTTCACCTTTTAAGGGGTGCAATTTGAAGTCAATTTTCCAGTTACCGGGGAGAAGAAAGCAAGAAAAGAAGCTCTGATGGTGTGTAGTAAAAGACAGTTATGAGATGACGAAAATTTACAAGAAGGGATGGGTGATTTGGTAATATTTTTGTGGTTTGAAGAGTGCATTGTACTGTGCTAATATGTGCTTTTCTTTGGGCAATAGGTCAGTCCATAGTGGGATGTAAAGCCATTCTTGTTGGTGACCAAGTCTTTGTGGTGGTGGCACAGCTCTTCGGTGGCTCGCACATTTACAAGTACGATGAAAGCTGGACAAAGTTTGTCAAATTCCAGGATATCGAAGTGTCTCGCATTTCTAAGCCGAATGATATAGAGCTTTTTGAGATAGACAGTGAGATGTTTTTTGTCATCGCAGATAGTTCCAAAGCAGGTTTGTCCACAGTGTACAAGTGGAATAACAAAGGGTTTTACTCCTACCAGTCCCTTCACGAGTGGTTCAGGGACACTGACGCCGAGTTCGTTGATATAGATGGGAAATCCCATTTAATCCTCTCTAGCCGCTCGCAGGTCCCCATTATACTCCAGTGGAACAAAGCTTCCAAGAAGTTTGTCCCACACAGTGAGATCCCCAACATGGAAGATGTCCTGGCTGTGAAGAGTTTCAGGATGCAGAACAACCTGTACATCACACTCACCAGGTTCATCGGTGACTCCAGAGTAATGAAATGGAACAGCAAACAGTTCGTGGAGATACAGGCTCTTCCCTCCCGAGGAGCCATGACGCTGCAGCCTTTCTCCTTTAAGAATAATTACTACCTAGCCTTGGGAAGTGACTATACGTTCTCCCAGATATACCAGTGGGATGGTGAAAAGAAGATCTTCAGGTTATTTAAAGAAATCTATGTGCAGGCGCCGCGTTCTTTCACAGCTGTGTCAACGGATCGAAGAGATTTTTTCTTTGCCTCCAGTTTTAAAGGAAACACACAAATATTTGAACATATCATCATCGACTTGAGTTTATGAAAAGCTGCTGGATTGAAATTCATGTAGAATGACATTTATACACAAGCAAAACAGTGACCTTTCCGAGAACAGGGAGCACCTATGGAGTATGATGACATTTTCTGAACTTTTAAAACTTGCATATTAATCAGGGATTGCATTTACTCGGTTGCTGCATGACATGTCCGTTCTATCCTTTTTCAAAGACACTTTGCAACCTACAGCCGTTCAGATGAGTGTGCAGTGCATTAGGATTAATTTTGACATCTAAGAACGATATAAATTTTACCCAGAAAACTACCTTAGATTGGACATCTCATAATGAAAGCAACACGGAAGCCATACCATTTCTATGCTTCGGCAGAGAAATGCTTTTGACTCTTTAGCTAAGATCTCAGCAAAGATTTTAAGATTAGAAGCAGGTCCTCATGCTTGCTGATGAATTGTAAAAGCAAACGAACATTCCGGAATACACTTCATTTTGTTTTCTCGAGCTCTATCTTCAAAATCTGTCTTTGTGGTTTGTAGTAAGACCAAGGTGTCATTTTAACTCATTGTAGATTAAAAGGAAAGTCAAAATCTATTGCCATTTTTCTTATATTAATCACTATTTCAGCAACAAATTGTACGTAACCAAGAGCCCAGCCCAGAGTACCTGGGTGGCCAGGAAAATAAAGGTATTTTGCTTCTAGACTGTGAGATCTTAACAAGTTAATACAGACTGAAAATAACAGCGGGCTGCTTGGTGCCTTGAGTGCACTGACTATAGATTCAGTCTACTTTGTGGATTAATAGGTATTCCAGAAATACATCTCATTGTGCCCTAATTCACACTCTTCCTGATGATCCCGGTAGATTCTGGGGTGTTTTACCAAGGTCTTATTCTTCCACAAGACACAGCTTAAATTTTAGTTTGTAACATGCATCTACATTCATGTTCTTCATGCTGCAGCTTGTCTGTACACAATGAGATGATTTATTCTTCTGAGTTCTCCCTCCAGCACAGCTCACAAGCAATAAATTCAGGTTTTGATCATCACAAGCTGTACTCGGGGAATCTGAGAACCAAACTGGACTTTGTTGTCACCAGGTCTTTTGAAACTGAGGCAGCTAGAGCTTACCCTGGCTCCAAGAAGAAGAGTTTCCTTTTGGTGGCCCCAGACTTTTGCTGGGTTGCCAAGCTTTCAAAAGTCTTGCAGGTTGTACAGCAGGATGTGAACAGTCCACGTCTCGTTGGTGTTTTGGGTGGCTACAGAATAAGGCGTTCATTTATCTTAGATCTGGCAGCAGTCCTGGTGTGCACAGAGCCTCTGGCAGGGTAACAGCTGGGGACCATTCTCCTGGAAAGGCTCCAACATATTTACCCAACGAAGTTGTATTGCAGAAGCCTTGTTTGTTTTGGTTGTTGTTTTCATGTATACAATATTTTCTTTGTCTTCATACTGCATCGCCTGTTAGGTTGTTTTATCATGAGTCTTGCTGCTGCACTTCCACACTGGCTAATAGCAAGGCTTTGTGTAAAGCAAGTGGAGCAAATAAAAATGCCCTTTTTTTCCATGCTCGAGTATCTCACTGCCTCTGTGCTGAGTGAGCTTCGGGTTTCTGCCCCGGCCACACACATGAAACATGACCTAATACCAAAAATAGGGATGTTTTGACAGGCTTTCCAACATCCAGATGTGAACAGCGATGCAGACGAGGATTCTGCACAAGGACTCCCAGGAGGAGTCGCAATCTACCAGCAACCTGGAATATCACAGCCTTCTCCAAGGTTTGCCTTGCTGCTGTGAAATAAAAGTTATTACTGGCCCGTCAGAGACATAACTTATTTTATTCTGTTTTTAAGTTATGTGTTAATTTTTTTTTTTTTCTCTTTTTTTTTTTTTTTTTTTCCTGTATAGGTGCTCATTCTGGTTTTATTTTTAATTAAATGGGCAGTTTAGCCCATCCACCTGCCTGAAGCATTGATGTTTTGCCCTCCAAATCCTAGCGTGGTGTCAGTCCTGTGGCTTCAATCAGACCAGCAGATAGATGCTCTTTCCTTTCACCTCGCATACCAACATCAGCAGTAGGTTTTAGCAATACCTCTCCTTGGACTAAACTAACAAACCCACAAAACTGAGAGATGATTTATGTATCTGCCAGTGAATGAAATTTCTTACCATTTTCTTAGTTAACTTTTTAACTTCAGATATGGCTGACAAGCGATGTTTCTTTAAATTGTGTTGTGGGAAGGCATTTTTTTAGTCCTTTCCTGTCTAGCATGCACGTTTGAACGCGGTCACATATTCTGACAAGGAGGGGCAATTCTCAGCACTTTCTTTAGGGCTCGCTGCTAGTACCATATGCTTAGCAAAGGCACAAGTCCAAGAGCTAAAAGCTGATTTAGAGAAATTGGATCTTGATATTTTTGATTTGAAGGGAAGCAAGAGTATGGCACAGAAGTGCTTTTGTATCCAATAGTCGGAAATGGTACCGTTGTGAGAGAGTCCCGGGGATTTGAGACTTGGCTATCAGGTTGAATTAAATTAAAATGGTCTCTGCAGGGACGGGCTTAATAAAGAGGATAAAGCGATCAGCGGGAGCCTCGCTCATTCACACGGGACCAGAAGAAGAAAGCGAGGGGAATGAGTTCTGTGGGCAGGCTGCATCGCTGCCGAGTAGCTCTGGAGGTTGGTCGGAAAGCTGGGCTCAGCGTCCTGGCCCAGCTTCAGGAGGAGGCTGGGTCGGCAGCTGCTGCCTGTGGGGCCGAGTTAGTCAAGAGGCAGGGTAAAAAAGGACCTGTTAATGAAAAAAAAGGGATCACGGAACACTTCTCAGGATTTAATGAAGGCAGGGTCTCAAAAAAAGCCTCGCTGTGCTCTCCCTGCTCCCAAGGAAGAGCTCCAGGAGCAGCCAAGCAACTAAAACTCTGCCTTCCCAAACGCAACAAGGGTTTTTCCTCCATGGCCTATATTCTGTACTAAAAATTGTTATACGCAGCACATAATCTATGCATATCCAGACTTTACTGCAGCTGTGAGAACATCAGGACGGTGAGAAAGGATAACAGCACATGCCACCTGGTAATTTTTATTGTATTCTAAAATACGTACAATAATGTAAAGAACTGTAGTTTATATAAACATAGGTTTAATATGGTATGCTAGCTACAGCGGGAACATTTTAAGGCTGTATATACATTTAGCTTTTTTTTAGTAAAGAGATAATGTAATCTATGCCACTGACAAATGTATGTACTCCTTCAGTCGCTAAATAAAAAGTAGTTAATGAGACTAACTGGTGCATTGCCTGTGTTAAAATAGCCGTGCTGGGAAGCGTGTCCCAGCTGGAGTTCAGAGAAACACAGGGGGGTTGGGGCTTCCTTGGAAATGGGGCCTGTGAACCCACCTCACGTGGGCCATGGAGCCACAAGAGGTCCCCTCATGGTCCATGAAGCCCCAAGAGGTTTCCAGCCCCGGTGATACCCAACAAACCCCAGGATCTGACCACCAGGAGGGTGGAGGTCGAGCCAGAAGACCCCACCAGACCCAGCTCCTTGTCCATTTCTGGTCGATTTGGGTTTTCAGAGCCTGGACCTGAAGGGAGCCGTGTTCTTCCACGTTGGACGAAGTTTCTGTGTCGGGGGTAACGCGGACCTCCAAGGTCTTGCAGCTCCCTGGTTTCCCCGTTCACTCTTTCCTTACACCCCCTCTAGTGTTACCAGGTATGTAATGCAGCTACGAGTTTTTTCTGTTCAGATTAAAGGCATTTTCTGAAATCTTTCCCTTCTTTCTTTTTCTTTTTTTTCCTCTCTCACCACAAACCAAAGCCATCTTCATTTCAAAAAATATAAGATACTCAAGCAGGTTTCGTAAATGCAGAGTGGATAGGAACCAAACCATAAAATTAACCCACAGCTTCTGATCTTCACTGGGGAGTCTCTTCATTAAATTTTACTGAATCACTGGCATTTACTTTGAAATTGCAAAAATAAATATAAATCTATCAACGCTGAATGCATTTCATTTGAAGCAAGCCTTGAGCATTATCCACTGATCAGGTGAATCGTTAATGCAGGGAATAATTCGTTGTGTTTCCTCCTCTTTCTTCAGAAATAACACAATTCTCCGTAACTAATTATAGGCTTGTGCAATCAAAGGCAGGGCTGACACACCGTAATGGGATGCAATTGCTCCAGGATCACTGCTTTCCTTTTGGGTATTCCAGCTCCTGAGGAGTCAGCAGCCTTTGTGGTGTGGTTCACTGCAACTCCATCGTGGTTTGAACATCGAAGCACCACACCAGCTGCCCCCCGGTTTCTTTGTCCTTGCCAGGTTAACAATTTTTCCCACTCTTTACCGTGTTCTTCAAACCATTTTCTGAAAGTTTCTATTCATCCTTGAAAGTCACAGCAAGATAACCGGAGAAAACTATTCCCAAAAAGCAAAGCATGGATGGTTGCTCCTCCCCAGATTTAATGGGGAAGACAGAGTAGGGTCTTTTTGAAAGACTTTTTTCACAACATAATGCAGAAGAAATGGATCTGCAGCTGTTAATACATTTTTTTGTTATTTATTTGTTTGTTTTTCTAGTATCTAGAGAACAAGTCTTACCAGGAGCAGCTGAGGGAGCTGGGGTTGTTTAGCGTGGAGAAGAGAAGTGTGAGGGGAGACCTTTTTGTACTTTAAAGAAGATCATAGTGAGGTGGGGCTCAGGCTCTTCTCCCAAACATCCCAAGCGCCAAGCGATAAGACGAGGGGAGATGATAGCCTCAAGTTGCACCAGAGAAGGTTTAGGTTGAATATCAGGAGAAACTTCTTTACTGAAAGGCTTGTGCAGCATTGGAGCAGGCTGCCCAGGGAAGTGGTTGAGTCACCATCCCTGGAGGCCTTCAAGAAAAGTGTAGATGCAGAACTTAGTAGCATGGTTTAGTGGTGGACTTGTCAGTACTAGGTTAAAGGTTGGACCAGATGATCTTAGAGGTCTTTTCCAACCTGAATGATCCTATGATTCTAACATGGATTAGGTGAAGAAAATGTTGAAGGGAGGAAGCATCTGGAGCTGCACATTGCCACACTGGAAAGAGTCACAGAGGGGTGCGATGCAATTTGACAGGCAAGGAAGAGATTTTTTACAGTCTGGGAGATGGGTTGAGAGAGATAATACGGGTCTTGGGAAGATTAGATGAAAAATTTCTGAAGGCATCTCCTTATTCCAGTTTTACTCCATCAGCAAAGTAGCCTAGTCAGTTTGGTGGAAAGCAACAAAAGCAGGTGGCAGAAGTTTAATGCAAGAAATATTGAAGTAGAGACAAGAAAACTAGAGATGGTGAGCCTGTAGACAAATGCTTAGTTATCTGGAGGAAAACAAATCACATTTTCCAGGCAGAGGGATATATCAGTATGAGATCAGGGAATCAGGGAGAGCAAAAAATATGTTTCTAAATAAAGGAAAGGGATAGGAATGACAGAATGTGAAGTGTGAATTTACTTAATTGCTGTGTAGAGAAAGTATCTAAGTGCATTTCCAAGGTCACTCAGAGAATGCAATCCACATCATTTTCCCTTTCAGAGTCACCCTAGTTTATGCTTAATTAAACTATGCAAGCTCTGCACACTCTAGAAAATGCCCTTTTTATTACATTGTAGGCAATTTGCATTTCTGAAGGGCGTTTGGGAACCATGACATCACCAGAATGAAGGGCTTCTGGTAGCGTGGCTTCCATTTTTGTCCAGTTGCAATTTGACTTTTATTCCAAAGTCCATTTCTATTTCCTGCCTGGACATTAGGGCAGGATTGTACAAGAGTGCTCATTTTCTAGCTTCAGTGGCTGTTTCGGTTCTTCTGACTCAGCAGTCCCCTTGGAGATGATTCATCCTCCAGCTGCAGGTGTGCCCTGACAATTATTCCTCCATTTCAGTCCAGCAAATGAAAGGTCAGTGGGTCAAGAAAGCACTCATCACCCAGGGCTGGTGGAGTCAGAGCGGAGCCGGAGCTGGCATGTGGGAGGAGGGAGCAGCACTGCTCTCTGCATGTTGATTATGCCCTCTGCCATTCCTTTCTCTTCTGCTCTCGCCAGTATGGCAAATGGTTTTGCCAGAGGTTTATAGAAAGCAAAGTGCCAATGAGGTCCTGACGGTGGAGATTTGCTTGGGGTGCTTCAGAGAGCAAGCCAGAAATAGCATAGGGAAATAGAAGTTAAGTCAGCAGATCTGGTTAATGGCATCTGCCCAGAATTTGTTTCTAAACTCCATAGCCCGGGGGTCTCCTTGGATCCCCAGCTTCTCTTGGTTCCTGCTGGCAGCATTTTCTGACTCTGTTTTGTACCATTAGCGTCTGGGGAGCACACCGCGGGACTTTCATTCTGGAGGAAGGCTCATTACAATTATCTGAGCCTCTGTCACCTCAGGATCTGATTACGGTGCTGGGGTTGCACCTTGAAATCATTACAATTAAGACTTAATGAAGTGAGTAACTACAGAGTCCTGCAGTTACTCCCCACCAACTTGCTGCATCTGCCTCTAATGCAGGAATAGTTACCACCTGATTTTTATAATTTTTAAGAGGTGAAACCTGGTGTTTCAAGTTTGTCCTGCAAAATCCCACAATGCTGGGTCTTTGTGAGCCTAGGCAGCTCCCCTTCCACATCCCAACATAGACTGGGTGAGCTTAGAGCATGCTGCAGGCTGACAATGGGTGCATGTATTGGGGTGAAGCTCTGTTTTTTGGTCTGGAAAGTGACCTTGATGACAAGGAAATCCTGGGTGATGACTGTGGAGAAGGCTCTGCTCATGTCCACTGAACTCTGGTCTAACTTCCATGTGGTGCAGTAGGCTGATGTGCCTGAGTGAGTTCCTGGGCATTGGGAGCCTACATCCCTGGGCAGGAGCCTACTTCTCTCCTAGGTTTGCTGTTCATGAGCAATGCTGGGCTTGATCCTCCAGACTCTTTTGCTAGCAGAGCAGTGAAAAGAAATGATGGCATGGGAAAATGTGAAGTTTGTAGGGATAATGGGGAGGTTTGGTGAGGTTACCATTCACAAAGGCAGCCCACAGTGGGCACGAGACCAGAGCTCCTGCTGCTAGCACCTCCTTGGCTCCTCCTGACGTGCCTTGAGGATGTACCTGACCTGAGTCAGGAGAGCAGAGTGAAATATGGAGCTAACCAGCACTTGGACGCCTTCTGGCCACCCGGGGGTGAAATGGAGCATACGTGTATGCAGGTACGCTTCCTGATCTCGTGCTGCCATGCTAGTAACAAATAGCAATTGGTTCCCTTACTTGTCTAAGGTATGAATCAAGGCAGATTTTGGGGTAGAATGGGAAGTAAATGGAGAGTTTATCTCTTTTCAATTCTCTTTCTTTCCTCTTTGCCTCCAATTTATTTGCCTCTGTCTTTCTAGTAGCTGGGAGATTATTATGTCTGAATTGTTAGACTAAGAACCAGTTTTCACTTAAATGACCACTGAGATATTTACCTTTACTGTTGTAGGGAGACTCCTACCAACAACTGCAGGTTGGATGAGGATCATTTGCCTTTCCACACTTCCAATGAATTATCAGTGAGGGTCAACTGGTGCAAATCCTGGCCCTTTGGCATGGTGGGCAGAGAACAAGGAGGTTCTCATAGCTTGGCATCAGGCAGCTCCAGGCCCCTCTTTTCTCACTGAAAAGAGGAGGTTCCCCATAGAAGGGGGTGGAGGGAAATGCTAAGCTACCAATCCATGAAAGAAAGGGAGAAATCCATGGAAGAAAGGGAGAAAGAAAGGGTTGTGAGGCACTGGAACGGGCTGCCCAGGGAGGTGGTGGAGTCACCATCCCTGGAAGTCTTCAAAAGACGTTTAGATGTAGAGCTTAGGGATATGGTTTAGTGGGGACTGTTAGTGTTAGGTTAGAGGTTGGACTCAATGATCTTGAGGTCTCTTCCAACCTAGAAATTCTGTGATTCTGTGAAATAAATCTCTTTTTAAAAGTCATTGACTTCAGTGTCCTGTTCTAACCAGGAACATTTTAGCAAATGTGACTGAGAGTTTGAACATGGTACTGGTGGTATCTGTGATGTGGCTGCAGGAAGAGTTTCTAAAATGTCTGGAGCTTTAGTATGGTCAGAGTTAATTCCAAGGAGCAGGGGTGCAGATGGAAACAGGTTACTTGGTGGTGTGTTAACAGCTGTAGGGAAAGAGAGTTACCCTTCTGGTGAGATCCTCTTTAGTGAGCACAGGGAAGGAAGAATACATTTGAATTATGCAGACCATAAAGAGAGTGATGCAAAGCAAGACCTCTGCAGTGGGAAATGCTGCACGTTTGCTGCAGTCATCAGTAGAGGCATGCTCGGCTGCTCAGGAAATGTTGCAGGAATGTTCACTTTTTCATCTGTTACTCTATTTCTTGTTGTTGTTGTCTTTAACGTCTGCTTTTCTGAGACTTCTTCTCCAACTTCTGCTTGGTGAGCTGAATATTACTCATGTGTTCTAGCCGCTTTTTGATTCTGTCCATGTTAGCCAGGCCTGTGATAGAAAGGATCAGAAGATGCAGTATTCAGGTGACAGAAAGGCTGTCAAACGTGACCTGAGCCAAAATGGAAAAAGTCACAGTCATGGGGTGGACCTCATGGGTCCACCTGCCCCAACCCCTGCTCACGCAGGGCCACCCAGCGCAGGCTGCCCAGGCCCACGTCCAGGCGGCCTCTGCAGGTCTCCAGGGAGGAGGCCCCACGGCCTCTGGGCAGCCTGTGCCAGGGCTCCGGCACCCACACAGCACAGGAGTGCGGCCTTGTGTTTGTTTGTTTTTTTCCTTATGTTCAAGCCCTTCCTATGGGAAGAGAGTGAAGAAGAAACACGCTGCTTATAACCCCTTGCACAGAAAATCCAGCCATTCTAAGGCTATTTAATTCTCTGCTCCTCTTATCCTCCTCAAGATGTGTACAGATGAAATCACTTCCATGTCATTTGCAGTGACAAAGTGTTCCTAAGAATAGACTTAGCTTGGTGACCTTGTAGTCAGCAGTCAGTTAAGGCACCACTTAGCGCTGACACCGAAGCTATTTAGGAAGTAATGAGTTGGCACAGCACACTAACTTCGGGAATAACTGGGAGCTAATGTCTGCTGCGTGCCCCACGCAGTGGTATATGTTAAGGAGGAGGGTGGGTCATTCCTGCCGCTCCCAACTGCAGCCCAAGGCACTGAGTTGGTCTTTGCTAAAACAATTCAGGCCCATCCATAGGTTTCTTCCCTGTCGTACCTCACCTGCGTTTGTCTACACTAACTAGCATGGGATCTTCCCTTTCAACCCAGGAGGACCAGCTCTCTGTAGTTATCCACAAGTACTGTGACATTGAGGTAAATTATGTAAAATTACCTAGAGTTATATCAGCGACTAAAGGGTCTTCTGCAACCCCTCTCATCTGAAGTAAGTCATAAATTCTCCCCAGGGGCAGGTGAAGGAGAATGCTTATTGAGCCCTCTCTTATTTGTAAGAGCTTGGGAGGTAAGAAAGCCTCTCCTGTCCTCAGAAGAGACAAGCTCTGATATCTCAGTCCTGGGGCTCCCCAGAACCTACTCATTTCCAAGAGAGTAGGCCTCAGAAATGATGCGTGGTTGTCAGGCACGAGCAGCATCCAAGGGTGTGCAGATCTTTTGGCAAAATGTGGAGTGTTACAAGCAGAGTCTTTGAATTGCTCTGAGTGACAAAAAATGGGGATGGAAGCAGCTCTTCCTGCATGGAGAAGCCACAATGGGGGACAACAGCTCCTGCAGCTTCTTTCTATAAAGCTATTTTGTCAGAAGTACCTGTATTACACAGACAATTCAACAAGAGACTGGGAAGAGTTTTGCTTCAATCCATAGGGATGTATTTGGGGGCTTATCTTCCCTTATTTGGTAAAAACTCATAACTGTTGTCACCAAGATACCAAAGCACAGCATAGAGTTACAAACCATTCTGCGTAGGAGGCCAGAAAGGACCCTGAATACTATAACTATCCTCCTTGTGAGGAGCATACAGCTTCAGTGTGAGGCAGTTTCTGAGCAAGACAAACTACTTCTCTCCCTGAGTTTGTTCTCTAGTGTCAACAAATCAAATCTGAATTCTCTCAGTTTAAATATATTTTCAGAAAAAAATCTGCTGTTGGATACATCCTATTACACAAGTGTTTGGAAATCAAAATGAATACAAAAGGTTTCTTTTTTGTGCGTGTGTTTCTTCTGTCTGAAATCTTTCACATGCAGACATTGACGGTTTGTCAAGCACAGAAGAAACATCTCAGTTTCAGCAGACACGAGGAAATAAAATATCTAAGGAAATGGCAAAAAGTAGGAGCAAATGAAAGATCTTTTCAATAATGTGCAAGGTTACGGAAAACAAAGATATTCATGAACCTTCTAAAACTGAATACCAAACAATGAGATTGTATTTACTTTAACAAAAGAGCTTTCTTTTGTCTCTTTGTATTTAACCCCAAATTATTTGCATTGTCTCCCATGGCAACAAATTCAATCCTTTGAAAATATGTTTGCCGTTTGCTGGTAATATCTATTACAATAAAACATGATGCTTATTGTCAAGAGCTGTGTAGGAGGCATAGAAGGAAATTCAAGAAAAGCACAAAGATCTCTTATACCACGTGTTCAGCATACCAAGCTACTTAACTTCTTGTCTTTGGTCTTGTTCTTCAGGTCAGAAGACTTTTGAAGTGTTGCCAAGATAACATACTCCTTCTGCATGGACTAGAGATTGCTCAGAGGTGGCCTCTCTGCCCATGTAAAGGTGGAACTGGAAGCAGACCTCGCACCTCTGGGGAGCTTTGCTTCGTCCTGCTTGGCTGCCTACTGAGAAAGATCATGCAGGTAGTGACCAGCAGGTACTTCGGTGCCTTTCAAGAAACAGTAAGAAAGAACAACTTCAGCTGATGCAAACTCGGTTTGGTTTACTTCTTAGCAGGTAGCTAGGTAAGACAAGAGAAACTCTAAGAGCACTATACTCGGTGTGGTTGTGGCACTGCTGGGCACTAGGAGGAAGGGGTGGGCAGGAAGGGTTGGTGTTCTGGCAGGGTTAGGTGGGGGAGGCAAAGTACTGCACAAACAGCCCTCCTGGGCGGGGGGATGCTTGGGGTCACTTCTCTGTGCAGGGGTTTATCGGGCTGGGGATCACTGCACCGTGCTTCACTGGAGATGTGCTTCTGTGCTTCACAGGCTATAAATCTGTTGTACTTGCCAGAAGCTTTAGTGGTGTATGGGGTTTATGTGGGAAGGTTTTGGTAGCAGAGGGCTTCAGGGGTGCCCTGTGAGCAGAGCTCAGCACCTGCCCCAGAGCGGGCTCCAGCTGCTCCAAAAAGGGACTTGATGCTGGTGTTTTTAGTTTGCTTTTAGTTCTCATTGGTCTAGTCTGTTATTAATAGGCTGTAAATTATATTACTCTCCTTACACTGAGTCTGTTTCACCTGTGACGGTGATTGGTGAGCCCTTTTCCATTTTATATTCTCCTCCTCTTCCTTTGAGGAGGGGGAGTGAGAAAGCGGTATGGTGGAGGTTTCACCCTCACAAAGCAGTGAAGGAGAAGTTCTCCCTTTTGCTTCTGACTCTCTTTGGTATGAAAAGGTTATTCCAAAGATCTCTCATTGCCCAGTCTACATATCCTCAATTCCTGAGACTTAGGGTAAGTGACACGGGATCATGAGTAGCCCGGGCGAGAAAGAGCCCTGTCCTGGCTCAGAGAGCTGGTTTCCAGGCAGGAAGGCCAGAGGCTGTGCTGAGCCTTCTCTGTTCCTCTCTGTGATGCAATCTATGGCCAGAGATGGGTTGAGCAGTGACAGGCCTGTACCTTACCTCTGCAGGGATAGGTGCTGCTGGCTGGGGAGGGAGTGGAGCAGCGTGGGCATCACTGAGTGTTCGTCTGCTTAAGCTCTTGACAAACTGCATCACTACAGGAGGCTGAGCAGTGACTTGCCTCCCTTGGGTACATTCACTTTTTTGAAGTCTCAGGATGCAGCCTTAGCCCATCCTATTACTCCTTAGGTAACTTGAAGATCCCTGAACCTCGACCATCTGATAGCGAGGCAATGCATTTGAATATCCCCAGGAGAGTAGTGCAATACACAGTGGGTTCGGTGGAAATGCCTGTGGAGCTCAGCCATTTAGCATTTCCAGCTGAAACTTGCATCTTATCCCATTGTATGGTTGAGGGTAATGGAAGCTTGAGACGGTGTTTCCAGATAGCTTCTGTTCACATACTCTTAGGCAGACCTCAGAGGGCTTTTTACCCTGAAGCTAGCACACTCTACGCCCTCAGAACTGCCAGAAAAAATATGCTTAAAAAATCCCATAAAATTTAGTAAATGTTAGAGTTTTTTTTCCCATGTGATTTTCTTGACTACCAGTCTAGTTTATGCTTCCAAAGAGCACCTATTTATCTCCGGCTATCAGGGCTCCCCTGTTTCTCTCTTTTCCCCTATTCCTGCTGCTCTTTCACCCTCCAGCTGGTGTGGGCAGCTAAGCTGAAAGAACAACAACAACAAAAAATGGATGGAAGGGAAAAATGATGAAAGAAATCAACCAGGAATTTATCTCTGATGGAAATTTGAGGTATCTCTATGGTAAGAGGTAAGGAGGTGTTTCCAGAGGTCTTGCTGTCTTTGCCTGTCGTGGGAATTACTTCCAGGTCAGCCAAGCAGAAATAAACTGTTAGTCTGAAATTGTTCCTGGGACTAAAACCCTCAAACCACCATGAGGCGGTGGCACTGAGATGGGGCTGATGTTGCCCTGGTCTCAGCCAGCCCCAGGTCTGGTCCCATTCCCAAACTCTTGGATCCACGCTGGCATTTTTCAGCAAAACCAACCCCACAGGCGCTCCCTGCCCCTGCTCTGCTAATTTGATTAATAGGCTGGACTGAGCATCCTCCTCCTCGCAGAGCAGCCTCGTGTCACGATGGCTGGTTTCCAGCCCACGCAGCGTGGAGCACGGGGGCTTCAGAGACCGCTTACAGAATTATCCCGATAAGCAGTGACGAAGGCAGCAGGGCCATTAGTCACAAGGAGACCAGGGCCCTGACAGTGACAGCCGATGATGTACAGCAGCTGCATTTGGTTTGCAATCAGTTCAGGCTACACTTCAGACATTGAAGTATCTTTTTTGGGGTTTTAATTTTTTTTTTTTTTTTTTAGCATATCCAGAGAATTATGTACATTGCTCCAGTTGTTGTGTATGCGCCAGGCTGAGAAAGTGTTCTCTTTCAAATCCCCAGTGGCCCGCTAAAGCCCCAAAACAAGCAGCGAGGATTAATTCCTCCCCAGATAAGATTCTCCTAAATCCTAACAGATAATTTGTTTGAAGTTTAATTTTAGTCTGTTATTACACACACGGGCCTTATCTCCATTCAGCGTCGTTAGCAAAATTAAACAAGCCTCTTCAAACAGGAAAGGGAAGCATAGCAAGAGCCCAGGCAAATGAGTGAAATCCAGAGCTAATGGCACTAAAGGTAGGCTTCTGCACTGCTGGCAAGCCCAAGCCCTCAAGGAAGCTCCAATTTATTTTGTTCTCCCATTTTTTTTCCTTGTGGTAGGTGTACAGGCTGCCTGCTGTGGGGATGACCCCATAGGACTCAAGCCTCCTCTGCTGTGATCCATATTTGACCATGTATATCCTACACCTCCTCCTAGTTAATGGGATTAATGTGTTCGCTGTACCAGTGGTACAATGGAGCTGAAGTCTGTCCTAGTGGCTTGTGTGGTGATTCTGGATCTCCACCAGAGGGCTCAGCTCTTCCCCTATAGCCAGCGTGAGGTAGGAGCCTTTGGAGGAGGTCATCACCACATTACCTCTGTAAATGGGACTTGGGCCCTCAGTCCTGGTCACAGAAGAGCATTTTAGCATGTTAACACTGCAGTGTCCTCCTGGTCAGGGCGATGTTTAAGTGAACACCTAGGCAGTGTTTATGCTATTTGATCTTGGTCAGCGCTGTTCTGACCAGAGCACAGCTGACCATGTTCGTACCTGATGTACAGCCTTTTTATTTATAAATGCAAGAACCTCTGAAGATAATACTTCAGAAGTCTCCCTCCCTAACTGCGGTTATAAAATCCCTGGATCCAGAAAAGTGAAAGAGGGACTAAGATTACCTGTGTTGATCTTGAACCAAGTTGGGAGAAGAGCAAAGCTCTTGCTATCTGTCTTTGGAGCGGCTTATTTCTTGCTGCCAAAGCCAGCATTACTAGGACCACATGGGCTCCCTCTAGCGAGTACAGGACAAATTCTTCTGCGCTAAAGCTGTGGAAGCTGCCTGGAGCTCATCCACTTCAGCATGTGAAACCGTGGGTGATAAAGTAGGTGAAACGTGGTATCTGTAAGATTAAGCCTCAGGTCAGCATGCTGGGTTTCAATACCAATGTGATGCACCACTAGAAAACATTTAATTTGGTCATTTCCTTCTTATAACGGAGAACTGACCCTATAATCTAATTTAGGATAACATGCAAAAAGGAACTGTAATAAGTAGGAGATATCTTCGTTCTCCCTGCCTCATAATGTGGGTAGGTCTGTGTAGAGTTAGATGGGACAGAGAACAATTTTTCTTCCAAGTTAAAGTGTTGCACAGCAGAAGGGCAGGAAGCAAGAGGCACAGGTTGCTGTAATGTACATTCTGGTTAGATAACAAAAAGGAAAATTCTTATCAGTCTCTGGTCAAACACTGCATGATGTCACTCAGGGAGGTTGTGGGATCTCTGTCCTTGGAGATATTCAGAACTTGACTGCACCAAGGCTCAGTGACCGGAGCTAGCTTTGATGTTTGCCCTGCTTTGAGAAAGGTGTCGGAACAAATGACCTCCAGAGGTCCCTTCAGCCTCAGATTTTCCTATGATTTTATGATGGATACAAAAGTCCTTTTGATACATTAACTATCAAGTTTTTTGTATTTCAAAGAGGAACGATATGTTTTAATTCACACATATATATTCACAAATGATGAAATGGGCAGAGTGAGCTCTAGGCACAGGACAAAAAGCACTGTGTAGGCTTTACAAATTTACATGTAATTTCAAAGAGCAATCTCCTGTTCTGAGTCTCAGCAATGAATCTAGAGGTCTGCAAGTCTGGCTGTTCCTTAAAGGTTGGACCACTTCTTTGTCAGTCGGCTCACAGACGGAGCTGCATCAGTACAAGTGAGGTTGAAAATAATTTGTCCAGAATACCATTTTCAGTCTTCCTACTTGCACTAATCTGTAGCTTTTTAATGGATTTTTTTTTTTTTTTTGGTACAAATGTACTACCAGTATTATGTTCCTCGAAGAGGTCACTAACATTAGGCCAATTCTTAAGAAGTTTTTAACAGCAGGTCCTATTTTGAAGTTATGTTTTTAATGATATTTTCCACAAATTTGTTTTGAGCTCTCTTTTATTATTTTATTTTCCTTTACAAAATGATGCATTTTGATACCACAACTATTTAAAAAATGCACATATTTAAGTTGCTGTGGAAATATCACAGCAGATAAAGCAGCACATCTATTGCTCCTCCTTAGCTTGCATAGTCATGCTAGTCTATTTGCTGTAAACAGTAACAGCATGTTGTACTCTCCCACTGGGAAGGGGAAAAAAGCATTTTCAACAGCAGCCTGAGTAGGATCGTAAACAACATAACAGTCAGCAGAAAGACTAAAGTGACACTTCCTTGCTGAACAAAGACCTCTAAAGACAGATAAGCAAGGTAAGGTATCTGGGTACCAATGTGGCTGATGCAGATATGGGCTGAACTCGAATTCCTCTCCTATGAAGTATGTATCCCCTGTGAGATGCAGAGCATGCCTGTTGTAGACTGAAAGCTGTTCTGTTTTAGACAAAACATCATAATTCACTCTCATTATGCTGGTAATTTAGATGTCCAAATCCAAAGTTCAAGTGACCAGGCAAAAAACTTTTTTTCATCATCTTGCTTTAATATTGTCCCTAAACAGCTTGAAAGTGTGAAACTGTTCAGAGACAAGGACACAAAAACCCAGTGCCATGACTCTGAGCAGATGACAAAGTAGCAGGTAAGTTCCAGATATTTGGATTTCTGATGGTGTTTATATCAAGAGTGGTTTCTCTTTATCATGATTACATTTTATTGTTACTATACATTTTAAACATTATTATACATTTTAGTCACAAAACTTTAACTTCTCTACTGGACTAGGGATTTTGGGGATTTTTTCAGTATTTGGATACTGACATATATTCAGGAATAGTATTATTGTAAGTGTACAGTTTCACATGCTGTTTAAGGTCATATGTCAGTGGAAAATGTTGTTAGTTTTGTGGTGAATTTTGCTAGCCATTATAGTGGTAGCACTGAACAGTCAACTGTTTTCCTGGAAAGCACACGTTGGTAAGCCTCTATATCAGAAGAGCTCTAGGATCAAACTTCTTCACACTCACCAAATAAACTAGATTTGCAGACCTTTCAGTTTTATACAGTGACAGGTGCAGCCAAATGAAAAACTTTGCTCCAACTGCCTCAGATGTTTTTGGGAGATGAGTTTCAAAGTTGCACCCCAATATGAGGTCACCTTTAACAACTTTATTTATGGAAGAAAAATTCTCTCTGATCAAGACTGTGGTCCTGAAATCTATACTGGGATCTGACTTGTGTGGCTTGATTTCATGTGGGGTTTTAAGACTGCTGGTTCTCGTTTCTTCACATGCTATTAATGTGTGTACCCTGTATCAAAAAGGCAGGAGCAAGAAGAAACTAAAATACAAATAGAAGGGAGGAGAGAGAAACAAACAAACAAACCACTATGAGAATAGAGAAAGTTAAAACAGATTTATCATAAAGAAAGGGAAAAAAGGAAAGGGAGGGTGTAAGCTAGAAGATGACCCAGTGGGTTAAGAAAGGGCAGGTAGATGCATATTCTCAGGCTCTAACTGTCTGCAGTTAAATTTTCATGCTTTTATTTACAGTTAAGGGAAGGAAGATGGGCTTGTCAGCATGTAAGGGGTTATTATTTCAGCCACGGTGAGTATATTAGGTCTCACAGGCCTGGTAAAATAGTATTATTTGCATTACTTGTGGGTTATCTCTACAGCTCTCAATTCTGATATAACTGTGTCACAGCATGTGAAAACTTTTATAATTTCTGTCTTAAAATGAAGGATTGAAACTGAGGCCTTTCTAATGTCAATGAAAGACATTCTATTTCACTTCAGCATGAATTCAGGATTTCATCTCAAATGTGGAGCTTGTTCAATGCTGAGGGCTCTGTGAACTTATGGTGATGAGCCAAAGCCAAATCCTGGGAGCTCAGGAGGGTTCTGTTTTCCAAAAACTAATGTAAGTTGGCAGGAGTTTTTCCTATCCCTCCTTCATGGCAAGGCTGTCCAGGGTTAGTATAAAATAAGCTGCAACAACTGCTACTTCTCTTAAAGAAGAATTGCTCTGTGTGGTGCAGCAGGGGCAGTTTCACAAAGGTTATTACAAAACAAGCATTTGCACACAGGACTTTCGGTGAGGACGTTATCTCTTCTAATCCAAGAATTTTCTCTCTTTTTTTTTTTTTTTTTTCCGGCTTGGGGTGTGCAGCACTTTACAGGCAAACACAAAGGCAAAACAGCCATGTGCTCTGAATAACTTGCATTCAAATTAGATTGACAACATAATGAGAGCTGAATAATGTTATATTTGGAAGTCGTTGATAGAAATCATCCCAGCTCGTATCTTGAGAGGATAGTAGGATGAGTGGTTATCTATGGCTCTGCTGCTTCTTTCACAGTCATTTTCTTTTCTCATCTTGCCTGGCACTCTTCAAAAATAGCCTCTTAAGATATGAAATTTATCTTTATTCTTCTAAAAAAAATCCTCCTAACTTTCTGGATGGACCCTTATAACGCTCCGATGATGCTTTAGAGTTGGTGTACTCAAATCCTTGCTGATTTCCAGGATGGGTCTTAAATCACACATTATATACCCCTATCCCTCACTATTCTGCTTTGGATTTACAGTCCCAGTTAAAGTTACATCTGTGAAGGAAGATGACATGAGCAAGCATCTTGCTGCTCTCTATCGTTTTAAAATACCAAATCAATTTAAGGGCTTAACTTATTGTTATAGTTTATATTGAACCTCCTGAATCAGTTCATTGAATTTTAGCTGTAGCTATATAAAATTCCATACAGTGAAATTATTTGGCCATACTGTGAATGGCTATGCCATGATCCATCAATGCCACTAACTGCCAGCAATAAAGAAATCCCCCTTTATTCTCCATTTATTTTGGAGAATTTCTAAAACTATTATTGAACACCAGGAGTATATTTTACTAGGCTTTTAATTTTTTTTTTTTCTTTTACAGAGTGTATTGATGATATTTACCTGAAATGCACTTCACTATTGAGTGGCTTCAGTAGCTGTCAGAAAGAGACACTGGGAATACCCAAGGAAACACAGACTGGTAAGGTTTAGTAGTGAGCAAGATAATGGAAACATTTATAAGGGAGAAGATTACAATTCAGTTAGAGATGTGATTTAGTAAGGGGAAAGCTGCATAGTTCTGTTAAAAGAAGATCATGTATGACAAATGTATTAGGGTCATTTCAATGCACTGCTGAATTGATAAAGACGAAATCGTTGACATAATTCATCCAGATTTCAGGAAAGTATTTGTTACAGACTGTACAGGAGATCGATTTACAAGGTCAGAAAGCAGAGCATAGGAGACAACTCCTGAAATGGAATACAAATTGGTTTAGGCACAAGAAACAGATGGTGTCAGTAAAATGAAACAGTTCAGGGTGCAGCGAGGTACGGATACGCCTGAACACGAATACTGAGTACCACAGGATGCGGGTCCCAAATCATTTGTTGCGCTAGGGATGTGGACGTGGGTAGGTCTTCATAGCTTTGGAATGACAAGAGCCGCAAACCCTTTGGGGTGATTGATTCGAAAACAACCACAAAAATGCAAATCGTTGTGGAGAAATCCATGCAGTAAATGCACTTCTAAAGTCCTCTACAGACAGCTGAAAAATGCCTAAAATTCACAGGTGATTAACCACTTCTACCTGCTTTTTAACACCATCTGTGCACCTTGTTAAATACCAAATTGAAACAGATACATTTTCCTGGTGTGTCAGAATCAGCGCAACCACTGAAGTTGAGAAAAAATGACATTGTGCTGTTAGTGAAATGCACAAACAGTGTAGAATTTGAGGGCCCTCTGCACTCTCCATCAGCAACATCTCTAAGGAAGTGCCTTAGCCAGGCTTTGACTTTTTTCTTACTGCGTGGATTTTTTTCTCTTTATTTTAGAAATAGACTGAGAACAGACTGAGTTCAGGTCTAGAACTGAGAACAGCCTAGAGCAAGCACTGCAAGCTCATTGGGGGCCCTAATAACCGAAAATACTCCTCCAAAGACTCATTCTTCAGGTATGCGAGCTGTCTGCCATCCTGCTAAAACACAAACAACAAGGGGCTGCATTATTTAGTATACTTCTTGAGGCAATAGTACTATTGCTTCTTTTAACGCAAAAATGCCAGATGTCTTAAAGTTTGGGTGGGAATTTTGCTCCTCATAGCATTTGAAGTTTCACAATGGGTCTCTCCCTATCTTGTAGCCCTAAATTTGACTGGTGTGGCCCTCTAGGCCCTACCTCCACTTGTGAAAGCACCAGTTAATTTTATTTATACCAGCCTTTAAATCTATGCATTTCTGTAAAGCCAAATACTTCTAGTTATCAAGAATCTTGAGCTAAATCTTTTAAGTCCACGATGGAGAAAACATTTAGGGCCTGACCTGTTGAGCAGAGGCCTGTGTGTCTGGCTCCTTATCTCTGCATAGAGCTAACAGCACCAAATTGCTAGTACAGACGCTCAAAGCCACCCCTTGTGCCCTGTTGGCAGGTTTTGGGAACCTTACTTGCAAAAGAAAGCAGATATATAACAGATGGCTAAAGAAAGTACCACAGATCTGCACAGCATATGCAAATTATCTCAAATCCATTTTCATTTATTTTGGTATGCTTGGCTTAAAATTATGATTCAGTAGCTGTGTCATAATTCGTATTTGTCCCTCCAAGCTGCCTCTGGAGGACAAGGCAATGGCCAGGGAGAGTCCCCACTTCAGGCTGTGATTTCTGTCTGCTGCTGAGCACAAGACAGATCCCTCAGTCGTGATTTTACATAGTTTTATGGGGTGCTGCCTGGTACTAACTGCTTGGTGCCTCCACCATTTGTCAGAGTGGAAAAAATAAAAATACAGGCCGCATATGACCTCTCACTAGGACCAGGAGATTAAATTTTGAATTGATTCGGTGACCAAAAAGCATGAAGAAAAAGAACTTTTATTGGTGAAAGAAAGGAGATCATTTAGAAAATAAACAGTTTGGAGCCAAAAGAAAAAGGTATGAAATTCAAAGGTAAAACAAGCACCAATGAAGAAATTAAAGGCTACTTTCACTGAAATAATAATTTCCTCTCTGATAATTTAATAGGATCATAATCTCATTAGTAAAATATAAATGCCAAGTGAAATTCTGGAATAACTTGGTACCTTTTACATAATCCCTACCTCTTGTCCAGAATAGTTTGAGGGGAAGTGTATGTTTACAAAGATCTTGTAAGCACCCTGGTTCTACTAGGTGTAAGAAAAAGCTTTATAACATTGAGCAATTCCAGAAATCAACCACAAAACAAAGCAGGTCTTAGTCTGGTGCTTTGATTCTGCATGACCAACACAAGAAAGCAGTGGGGGAAAAGACAAGCGGCAGCATCCTCTCCCATGGGTATTGTGACACAGGAATTATAGGGTTCATTTTCTTTCCACCTGATTCAAACCTGGAGCATAAAAACAGAGCCCTTAATTTTTTTTTTTTTGTTAAAGCTCTTGCATTTTTGTAAGTAAATATTTATGTGAGGAGAAGGAGGTTATTTCCATACAGTTATGGTCTTATCTGGAATGTAGGAACCCAAGATTCAGCTCTTTGTTCTGCTTAACATTTACCTGTTTTCACCAGCTGGAAAAGCTTCTTGGGAGATGCAAGAATGCTCAACAAACTTCCCTTAGAACAGACTGAAAGAGAAGAAGCTCCAGAGGTCTGCAAAATTTGAACACAAAACATGCAAACTTCAGCTTAGTGACTCTGTAGGGTGCTATTGCCCATCCAAAGACGTGGTATAGGTTTGATGTGAAATTCCTCATGACTCCATAAAAGCTGCATACCAAAACTGATATGTATTGTTTTTTTTTTTTTCCAGACAGACATTTTCAAATGGAGAATTATTTTGCTGTGACATTCTTAACAACTTCTGTTTCAATTTTATGCTTGTGTCCTCTGACAGTGAGCCTTCTTTATTTCCTCCAAATTGACTAGGAAGGGCAGGCTCTCCACCTCCTTTGCTTACAGTCTGCTGAGTACTGACCACATACGGAAAGTGAGGGTCTTTGCACCAAAGAATCTGGTGTGGTCACAGAAATAAATGTCTCTGAAACAGTCAGACAGCTTTCTAGGATTTGATATACTCTACCAGCTGAAAAATGAACTTGCAAGTCTGAAAAGCCACTCATGTGTCAGATCTGATGACAGTACTAGGTCACTCTTCAATTTCATAGTAAGAGACAGTAGGCTCAATTCCCTACCTGGACTTCTCAGTGAAATGAACTATTTCTTATATATATTTTTTAACACACTTAGGCAAACATAAAATGCAGTACACGTTTCCTCAGAACCCGTCGGTTGTGCCTGTCTGAATCACTTGACAAAATATTTTCTCTGATCTTATATTGCATTTCTAGTCCCATCAGTAGCAAGGTATTTTAAGGGAAATAATAACAATGCAGAAGGAGGGCAGTGAGAGACTCTTGACAGGAGGAGTTTGATGCCTCTGGGAAAACAGAATCCATTTACACAAAGTCTATATTCAGTTATAATGACGAGGCCTTGCAAGAGGCTCTGAGATTTTATACTTTTTTCTTTTATATTCTAGTTCCTACTAAATTTTCCTTACTCTTATGTCAAGGGGAAGAAGGACGGTGAATTCTGATGGCAAAAATAAAGTAACATACTCGTAATCCTTACACAGTTATTTGCTATCACTAGTATAACAATCAATTAATTTATTAATCAATTTTACATGTGCTCTGAACTTAGAGCCTTCTTGGCTGAGTTGGATTCAAACTCTCCTCAGCATCTTCCAGATGCTCATCCACAGCCTGGTGGGTGGTGTTCCTGGAGGGTTTCACTGAAGTTCGTCTCAGGCTGAGTACTGAGCAGGTCTGTGTGTTTACTGGAAATGTCTAGGGGACAGTGAGCTGCTCAAATGCCTATGCCCGCAATCCTACCCATTTTCTGAGCCTTTCAGATGTAGTTAGACAGGAAGCAGCCAAAGAGCTTTTTTTTCAAGGAAACCTTCTGTACTACTCCAGGTTCAGGTTTCTTTGACAGAAGTGTGCCTAAGAGTTAGACATTGCAACATCACAGGACCTTGGAGAAAGGAGCCTTTAAAACAAAACAATTGTTCAAAGAACTTTTGTGTGAAGTTATATATGGCATGTTACTCCTATAAAATCTACACAAGAGAACGTAATTTGGATTCTAAATCACTCAGAAAAACTCAGTTAGGATTGTTCTGTTGCTCATGTGTGTTCACTGGTTTTCAGAATCAGCTTGTTTTCCAACTTGCTGTCTCTTCTCTGTCCCACCACCTTCTGGCTTTTCCCTTGATTTTTTTTCAGTGAATATCCCACTCAGTACCTGCACTCCTTCCTCTTGGGGCTGCTTCATGTCCCTTCCTTCCTCTGGTCAGATCTCCCTGCCTAGCCCCTTCCTAGAGCCATCCTGCACACAGTCAGCTCCTGTCTCTTCCCCCAAATTCTCTCGTTCTCTCTCTGGAGCAGCCACTACTAGACTCCAGTATCCAGTCACTCCAGCTAGCAGTCATAAAACAACTGAAAGATAAAGGAAAAAAAAATCATAAAAAAGAGACTCTCCAATTTTAATGTTAATGCAGCCCCTAAAACACAAAGGGATGTAATATACTGAAGGTCCAAAACTGTTGAGGAGAACGAAGAAACACCATCGCTTTAAAAATCTTTGTTGTTTGCCTAAGATGTGTCCTTCATGGACTTGACTGGGCACAAAAGGATTCAAGGTAAATGAATAACTGCTAAACTGCTTCTGATCTGCAGATCATATTGTCCTGCTGACAGATCATGCATGTGAAGCAGAGGAGCTGATACAGGATAGTGAAACCAGCAATGAACCTGAGAAAATTGAGAAGGCACAGCTGGAATATAAATGGACAAAAAGCAGCCTCTGATGAGGAAAGGAAAAAATCAAAGGAAAGAAAACAACATAAATGCTAAAGATGGTAACACCACCCACAAACATAGGATGCTTCCTCCAAAACACACAAATGAGGGTTTTAGTGTGTATTTATCTAGCATCAGACTAACAAGAATGTGAAACAGACGAATGCTGCTATAAATTTCCAAAGGTACTAAAATATCTGTTTTATCTATGATAGGTTAGATCCTTACTCAGAGGTATTTAAACTCTGATTAAATGGAACCCTGAAACATCTGTGGAGAGTCAGATTGACTCATCCTTCAGGGGACAAGTAGTACATGTTTTCATTACATTTCAATTATGTAGCCTGTCCAGATCTTAAGGATTTACACTGTTTTTTTAATCATATATTTCTTTAGAGTTGGACATGGATGTAATGGTCATGTTAGTGGGGTAGATAAATGACAAAAATAAGCAGCAAAATTGGAAGTGATCCATTCATTGTCTTACGTATGGTAAAAAACAAACAAATGAACAAACCAACCAAACACACACAAAATAAAACAAGGTTGTTTTCTCTCTTAATGGCTGACAAAGGCACTGATTACTGAAAGCTGTGTTTTAAAACTGTTGATTAAATATCCTGTAAGTGAAAGCTGTTGGTTCAATCTCCTACCTAAGTAGTTGCATAAAAGAGCTTGAGCACCTCAGACCTGATTCTGAATGTGTAATTTGTCCCAGAGGAAAAAAAAAAAAAAAGTTTTTAGAAAGTCCAGAACCTTCTGAACAAAACATAGAAAATGTTTAGAGAAATGGAGGGAAATCTGGTGAAAAGGCAAATGAACTCAAGATACCAAGGAAGTCTGATCACAAAGCAGAATTGCAGAGAAGAGAGATGAAGCACTAAAACCAGATAAGTTTATCTAGTGAATATATGGAGAAGGAACGCAAAGAAGATTATAGATCTAGTGACAAAGATAACAGGATGTTAACTGAAGAGGAAGGTTGAGAGTTGACTTCTTTTTATCTGACATTCAGTGACAACACCATATTATCCTGATGTTGGCAAGGTGATGGTGCTAAAGCAGTTCCTGCAGCAGGTAGGAGAAGAACCAAGACATGTTAGTTTTGCAAGGCAAGGGGCAGACTGGGCTCCTGAAATCTGCAATTCTGCTTCCTGGTTATATTTATGTTTGAAACTTTTGCTTTTCTTGGGCAAGACAATGGCTTCTCTCTTCAGTTTCTTACTTACAAAATGGGGCTGACTACTTATTTTCAGTCACCTTTTTTTTTGTTTTTGTGAGTTAAGGTAGGAAGGATATGTCTCAGCATGTCTGTCTAGAGCCCAGCAGAGTAACCTGGTCCTGGCCAGGTCCATTCCATAGCAGCATTGCCGTAACCACTGGTAAGTAAGACAGAGAGGATCAGGAAAGCTGAAGAAGTTGCCAAAAGGCTTCTATCAGGCGCGAGAAGTGGTTATTTAAAAATACATATTTGGATTCTTTTATTTCCTTTCTGATCCTATCAAGCATACTCAAAGCATACTTCAGCTTAATTTTTATTTATTCCCCCGAATCTTTCTTGTACTTCAAAAGAAATTGGTTATTCTCATCCAAGAGCTCGGGCTTTCTGAAAAACACTAGCTCTCATCAGACCTTTGATAAAATCGAAAGAGCTGGAAACATTTAGAGTTTCTTTTGTTTTAATAACCTCTCTTTCATGAATATTTTCTTCTCATTTGAATAATTATCATCAATAAAAGTGAAAACTTTGTTTGTTGGAACTGTAAGCAGCTTTGGGATTAAAATGAGTGACATCCTTCAAAAAATGAGGGCTATTAGAGAGCTCTGCTTGTAAAAAAGATAACTCTTTCTGCAAGAGCATTCTGAGCCTGGAGTACTCCAAGACCAATAAAACAGATGAGAGAAATTCTGCAAATGAGAAGAAAAACTGGGAAATAGATTGTCTGGTTCATCTATGCTAGCAGTGGTATGGCTTTAACTATTAGAATACTGTGAAAATGATGGGGTTTCTAATATTATTAATATTTTTTTTTAACAAGAGGGTTTAAATTGTAGTTCTCTTTCAGGCAATTTTTATTATTTGCCATTTGCCCAGGCAAACTTTTTTTTTTTCCAACTGTTTGTTGAGAAGCCTGAGAGGATGTGCAAGACTGTGATATATTGCACACATGACAACATAAACCACAGAAAAATATGAACAGAGAGGAAAGATAAATGTACCCTCTACAACACTAAAGTTACAGGGTGCTGAGCTGAGGAACAGCTAATTTAGAAGAAAATGGGCTATAATTTGGAGAAAATGTCTAAGTTTGATTTATAATTTGCAGGTAAAATGTATGAACTCTGCATATACCCTATCAAACTACAGTTGCATATGCTGCTCTTTTGGTCTTTTTTTCTTATATACAGATAGCCCTGGTTATCTATTCAACTTGATAACCTTAATTTAAAGAGAGTACCTGTTGGATTTATGTGACCTTGCTTTCTTCCCATATAAACTGATAATTAAGCACCTGGAATAGAAAAATATCAGGTACAGAGAAGGGCCACAAGGATGATCAGAGGGCTAGAGCACCTCTACCATGAAGACAGGCTGCAAGAGTTGGGGTTGTTCAGCCTGGAGAAGAGAAGGCTCTGGGGAGATATTTTAGCAGTCTTCCAGTATTTGAAGAGGACCTATAGGAAAGATGGGGAGGGACTCTGTCAGGGGCTGTAGTGATAGCACAAGGGGTAATGGCTTTAAGCTAAAAGAGGGTAGGTTTAGATTAGATATATGGAAGAAGTTCTGCACTTTGAGGGTGGTGAAGCATGGGAACAGGCTGCCCAGAGAAGCTGTGGATGCCCCATCCCTGGCAGTGTTCAAGGCCAGGCTGGATGGGACTTTGGGCAACCTGGTCTGGTGGGAGGTGTCCCTGCCCATGGCAGGGGGGTTGGAGGTGGGCGATCTTTAAGGTCTCTTCCAACCCCAACCATTCCTTGATTCTATGATGCTTGCCCAGTTTGGTGTTAGGTGAAGGTCTTGGTCCACCTTCACCATCGTTGTACCTGTATTTTCCAATTTAGACATTTGTGAGGTGGTTGTGCTTCAGGTGGATATTGTCTGTGAGGATATATTGTGCTGCAGCTGTGGCCACAGCACTGCACAGGGTACGGCTGAGCACGGAGGTGTGCAGGAGGGCATGCGGCACTGTATGGGTATCACGCTTGGGATTTGGTGCCGATGGATCAGTCTGCACTAGCGGGGATAAAAACAAGCCAGACCAAGCCCCGGGGCAGCACACCGAGCAACACACGGATCCGTGCCCCAAATGGGTGTTTCAGCACCACGTTGTGAGAACACGGCTCCCTACCTCACTTTTTTTCTTTGTGTGTCTGATTTTATGTATACAATGAGCGTGTGGACCATTCACGGGGGGCTGGTTGCACACATGTAACATTAAAATCCCTACAGACCCTGATGCCCATCCCTTTATTCACGGTGCTGTGCGGGCACCCCCGGCTGCCCGGTGCAGCGTTGTTTATGAGGAAGCTGTGCTTAAGGCGGAGGATGTTACTCGGAGGGGGGTGTAAGGATGCGAGAAAAACCTCCGGGGTGCCACCAGCTGGCTGTGGCACGACCCGGGCGGGCCCGCAGTGCCCTGCAGGAGCACCAC